GGGCTGCCCTTGAACCCTCGGGGTTCCCTCCCCAGGAGGACGCAGCACTGGCCCCCCCTTTCCCAGCACCAAGCGCGGGAACCTGGGCTTTCACTTTCGCACCAGACTTCCCTCCAGACACACCCGTTTCCCCCGCAGCTGTGCAGAAGCTGTACCCGCAGCGCTGCGCTTCAGTGGGAGGCTGAGCAGGGCGGGCACCCGACCAGGAGCAGCACGTTCCCGTTGTGCCACGTTTTGTTGTGCTACGGGCTTCGTGCTCCGCGGGACGGAGCCCCCGGGGGGACACGGGATCCCTGCCTTCCTGCAGGATTTGCCCCAGAGAGCTCCATGGATTCATTCAGATGGAAAACTGAAGGGCTGACGTTTCCAAGCAGGCCCGGTTATCCAAAGCAGGGTTGTTGTATCTGCCAATACAGGGGAGAAATGCAGCGCGTCCCTCTCCGAGCTGACACGTCTGTGCTCCGGGCAGATCGGTGAGGCAGCCCCAGCTGCACCCTGTCTGGAGCAGTGAAGTGTTTCCCGGCACATCCCAGCGCTGCAGCCGCGGGGCCGGGAGCACAACTTGCTCTGTGGCTCCAGCCGGGGTGTCTGAATCTCCTTTTGCCCCGTGTCCTCAGGAAGTGAAGCTCACACAGCCGCGCTGCCTGTCACCCCCACCGTGGCTTCTCCTCCCTCCCCGTCTTCATTTCTGAACTTGGCTCATTTCGGGTCAGTTTGGGAGGGGAGAAGGCCCCGGTGGATGTGGAAAAACAGTGGTGGGACAGGAAAAAAAGCCTGCCTGGATATGCCATGAGGGAAGAAGCTTTGGCATCCCAGCCCCTGACCCATTCCAAGAGCAGCAAAGGAACTTCCAACACCCACCGTCTTCAGGAATTACATTCTCAAGGGGTTTCATTCCTCCCACACACATACCCAGGATTCAATTGGAACCTGTGCAAGCAATTCCCAAAGTTCCCCCTTGGCAAAGTGAGGAGCTGAACATTTCATGCGTGTTCAATAGGACTGATACAACTGAAGTGCTTAGGAGTGGGAGCTCTGCCCTTGGGTTCGCCCGGCAGGGAGATCAGCAGCTTCCTGGGTGCGTGTGGGGGCTCTGGGGGGGCAGGGGGAGCAAACAGCGCGGGGCTCAGGTGCGGGCACGTCTGGAGGAGTTTTCGTGGCATTGGCATTGTGAGGCGGGGACGTTGGGTGCGGGAAGGGGGTCGGTGCCACCCCGCTCCTGCCCCTCTCCTGTCCCGCTCCTGCCCCGCTCCTGCCC